AGCCCCCATGTGGGTATTGAGAATCAAACCCAGATCCTCTAAGAGAAGCCAGTGCTCTTAACCAGAGCCATCTCTCCAGCCCCAATCTTTCCATTTCTTATCCCCAAGATCTCATGTTATTACAATATTAAACAGCATGACTTTAAAAGTCCCACAGTCCTTAAAAATTCAAACACTTCAGAAGTTCAGTTTCTTAAAAGTCTCTTAAATGTGGGTGCCTGTAAAATCCAAAACAAGTTACATACTGTCTTATTTCAAAAGGAAAGAACTGGGCATACATAAGCAAAACCAAAGTCCATCATTGTAGCTCAGAGTTGGATATCTGGGATTCACCCACAATCTTCTGGACGCCAAATGGTTTGGGCAGCTCCACTTCTCTGGCCCTGCTGTCCACAGCACACACAGTTTGTCTCATAGGCTCAGGCTGCCTCCACTCTAGACTTGCCACTGTCCTTGGTGGTCATCCTGTGGTCCTGGCATCTCCAATATGCTGGGGTCTCCATTGTTACTGAGGCTGCACCTTCACCAAGGACTTGTTCTGGCCCACATGATGCCAAGCCTCAGATCCTTTCCATGACCCCTTCAATCCTGGGGGTCTTCACAACTGAGGCTACATTTTCACCAGTGACCTTTCCTGTCCTCTCACAGTGCCAAACCTCAGCAGTTCTCCATGACCCCATCATGCCTTCAAAACCAGTACCATGTAGGAGATTCTTAGACATTACCAAGTCCTTCTTCTGGCTTGGGATAGTGTCTTGGGCCCCCTCTGGACCACAGCAGAGGAAAACTTCCCAGAGGATTTCACTCAGTGATACTGATACTGTGATTGCTCACAGCTGATTTTCCAGCCCCAGCTGACTAGCATCAATTATCCCAGTAAAACACAAAAGGTTTCTCTTCCAAAAATTCTTAATTCAAAATATATGACACAAATAGCCTTGATAGAGCCTATGCTTCCTTTGAAGCTTTATTATTCAGGCCTCCATCATCTACACCTCTTTCAACATTATCTTTCAAGTTCCTACAGAACAGCTCATGGAGCTTCAAGCACTTTTCCAGTCTAAACTTCCACAATCCTCCCAGACACATATGGTCAGATCCATCACAGCAATATTCTACTCCCTCTACCAATTTCTGTCCTAGTTTGTGTCTATTGCTGTGATAAAAACACTGACCAAAACCAACTTGTGGAGAAAAGGGTTTATTTCACCTTAAGTTTACAGTTCATCATGGAGGGAAACCCAAGCAAGAGCTCAGGGCAGGAACTGAAGTACAGACCATAGAGGAACACTGCTTACTGACTTGCTCCCCAGGCCTGTGTTTAGCCTTTCTTCTACAACTCAGGACCACCTGCCTAGGGATGGTACCACCCACAGTGAGCTGAGCCCTCCACATCACTCAACAATCAAGAAAATACCCCACATGCCATTTCAATGGAGGAAATTCCTCAGTTGAAGTTCCCTCTACCCAGGTGTGTCAAGTTGACAATTGAAGCTACCTGGCACAGTATTTCTCCTTTCTGACCCTGATCTGTGACTTCTGTCAAGTAAAAAAATTGGATTAGATGATCTTTGATGCTTGAAGTTTTTGTTTCCATTAGTACCTCTCTTATAGGCTAAGTGATCCACAAGGCTGACCAAGAAGTGACATTTTCTTTATTTGTAAGGCCAAAATTTAAAAATTCAACTTGAACAAATTTAAAAACCTAAGAACAGAGTTTTTGGTTGTTGGTGTGATTGAATTGTCATCTGGGTCCTTTGGGGACCCAAGGAGATCTGGCCTGTGTGCATCGTTTCTGGCCTTTACTCACTAGATGCTAATCACATATACACACACACCCCAGTTGTGATAACAGAAAATGCCCCCTAGGAGGCATAATCACCCTTGGTAATAGCTACTGCTTTGGGGACTTTTTTTTTTTTTTTTTTTTTGGTCTTTTTGAGACAGGGTCTCCCTGTAACCCCAGCTGTTCTGGAACTCGCTATGTAGACCAGGCTGCCCTGGAACTCACAGAGATCCACCTGCCTCTGCCTCCCAAGTGCTGCGATTAAAGGCGTACACTACCATGCCCGCCTTGCTTTGGAGACTTTAATAATTTCAGTTCAGCATGGTGGCACATACCTTTAATTCCAACACTTGGAAGGCAGACACAGACAGATCTCTGTGAGATAAAGGCCAGTCTGGTCTGCATAGCAAGTTCCAGGCCAGCTGGGGCTACTGGGAGATCCTGTCGCAAAACAAAACAAAAAGAATAATTATAAGCTAGGCATGGTAGTGAATGCATGTAATTCCAGTACTGGGGAAACAAAGGCAGAAAGATTGATGTAACTTCAAAGCCAACCTGGTCTAAATTGCATAGCGAGTTCTATGCCAGCCAGGGCTACATAGCAAGACTATGTCTCAAAAAAAAAAAAGGGCTGGAGAGATGGGTCAGTGGTTAAGATCACTAGCTGCTTGTGCAGAAGGCCCAGGTTCAATTCCCAGCACCCACATGATGGCTAACAACCGTCCATAACTCAGTTCCAAGGAAATCTGTCACCCTTGCCCTCTTATAACCTCCAGGGGCCCTGCACAACACGGATGCACTTACATAGATGTGGGCAATACACTCATACATATAAAATAAAAATAATAAACAAAATATTAAAAAAAAACAGGAGCTAGAGAGATGGCTCAATGGTTAAGAGCACCATCTACTCTTGCAGAGAACCTGGGTTCAGTTCCTAGCACCCCCTTGGCAGTTCACAACCATCCATAATTCCCCTTCTAAAGGATCTGATGCTCTCTTTTGGCCTCTGTAGGCATAGCACACACCACCATGGTGTACTTAACATACATGCAAGGCAAAATAAAAACAATTTAAAAAATCTACAAGGATCTCCCAAATGGAGCTCAATTCTTTCAATCCAGCACAGCCAGCTAGATAACAAATCTTCAAGTATAAAGGCAAAAATAGTCAAAACCAAAAGGAACCACCATATTATTAGAAAGAAAAGGGCAGGAACTGGAGAGATAGCTCAGGAGTTAAAAGCACTGGCTACTCTTTCAGAGGAACTGGGTTCAGTTCCCAGCAGCCGTGTGATGGCTAACAACTATTGGCAACTCCAGTTCCAGGGGATCCAACACCTTTTGGCCTGTGTGGGCACTTCATGCACATAGTACACCACACACATGCAGGCAAAACACTCATACACATAAAATTTAAATAAATTTAAAAATTTTTAAGAAAGAAGGGCAATAAAAGTGTCATTCATTGCCAGGTATGGTGGCGCACGCCTTTAATCCCAGCACTTGGGAGGCAGAGGCAGGTGGATCTTTGTGAGTTCGAGGCCAGCCTGGTCTCCATAGTGAATCCAGGACAGCTGGGACTACAGGGAGATCCTGTCTCAAAAAGCCAAAAAAAAAAAAGTGTCATTCATTAAGTCAGAAATTGCTAGAGAGTTGGTAGCATACTACTTTTTAATATTTGCTTAGATTATTTTATTTTGTAAATGTTCCTCAGGCTGGTGGACAGGAATGAAGAGAAATACAAGCAAGATTGCTCTTAAGAATACTAAGAATATATTTGCTTTTCACATATTTCTATTGTTCCACAAACTCTAGCAGAAAGAATTCATGCTGGGGAATTCATTACCTGTGCCTGTGAAGCCTAGGGATTTTATTTTATTTTAGTTTTACTTTAAATAAATAAATCAAGTGTGGCTTTTTCCTACAATGGGGTATTATTAGATAAAGAAAGTGGATGCAGTGCAGCTTTGCCAACTATATAAATCAACTTTGGGCTTTTTGAAACAGGACTTACACTGTAGCCTAGAATGGCCTTAAACTACTATATAGTCCAGGCTGGTCTCAAACTGATGCACTCCTCCTACCTCAGCCTCTCAGCCTTTGAAACTAAGTTTTCAATGTTAATAAAGCTGTTGTGGTTTGTTTGCTTGCTTGCTTACTTGTTTTTTTTTTACTTATTTATATTTTTCCCTCTTAGGATTTTTTGAGACAAGTTCTCAGACTCACTGTGTAGCCTAAACTGGATTTGAACTCATGATCCTCCTGTCTCAGCCTCCCAAGTGCTGGGATTACAAGCATATGCCACTATCCCTCCCTGAAGCTGGTCCTTAACAAGTGCAGTCACTTAGCTATATAGTGATTTAGCTAAAACTATCTTGATTTGACAGTAAGGATACATTTGCTTCCCTTCCATGTTTTACGTATGCTGATGTGTTTAATAAATGATTCTCTTCCGGTTATGAGTGATACAACTCGTAGCTGACAAGTCCTGAATATCCCAATGGTTTTAGACAAGGAGTTTTTGGGGTTTGTTTTTGTTTTTCTTTGTCTTGTTTTCTCTTATTTTCCCTGCAGTGACTTAATTACAGGATGTTTTCTGAATAGTAAGACTTCTAGAAACAATAATTCTGATCTCGAGCTCTGTTTTGATGCCTTCTATGGTCTAGGACAGGTATCTTTTCTTGCTGAGGAAATGTTTCCCCTCAAAAATGCTAGTGAACTTCCTAAACTGTGATCTTAGAAAGGCTACATAAGAAGCATTTGAAGCCGTATATAAAATATTAATTTTTGTATTATAGGTTGAAGCCTTGGATGTTTGGATGATTCTATTGCACAGTCATGTCTGAAAACAATCAAAGGTGCTATCTAAGGTCACTTCAGTCCTAAAGTATAGTGATTTAATGAATGGAAATTATTTTATGTCCTATAAGAAGCAGTTGAGATTAATGCATTGTCCCCTCCACACATACATACCTTAATGCATCAATACATCTTACAAAAACTTGGCTTGCTGTTTCAGTGTATCGCTCAGTGTGATCCCCAGTATGTGTTAGAAGATGATTTCCTTCTCATCAGGGAATCATTTCATAGCTTCTATGTTTTCAGCCTTAGACAAAAAGAATAGTTTGTTATCTTGATTTCCGTATAACTCTAAAATGGTATAAAATTAGAAATTCTGTTTGTTAATTTATTTGTTTTTCTTTAATTTACAGAATGCTCTTTTCAGTTGCATTAGCAGAAATGAAAGTAAGTATTTTGTTGATGGTTATACACAGTCCAAAGAACAAGACCGTTTACAGAACATGATCAGCAGTTGAACTGCTGATTCCCCAGCCCCTGGCATTATACCTGTTAATAAGTCATCTGGAGGAATGTGGACACAGTACTCTGCTAGGCAGTTGCCTCTGGGGTGTTCAAGTCACTCATGCATTGTGACAATCCCTGTGTCCCAGTTACAGATTTATAAAGCAGACACTAGGGGTATATGTGGTAGAAGATAATACCAGTAATAAAGTCGCCTTCATGGGTTGAGTACATCCCTGTTGTGTAGTGTAACCCTTGCCCAAGACTGCCTCTTAGTTCATTCAGCAGACATTTAGTGAGTGCTTGCTTGGTGTAAGGCAGACACACATCTGTGGAGGACATAACCTCTGGACAAAGAATTCTAAGCTAGACTAGGATGTGAGGTAGAGCCCTGATAAAATGCTACAGTTAGAGGAAAGGGATTGTACTAAAGGGGTGTTTAGAGGTGACTTCATGGAGTTGGTAAATAAACTGTGCACAATGGTAAAAAATAAAAATAAAAAAATGGACAGTGGAGATTGGAGGAACAGCAAACCACATGAAGGGATTATCAAGAGCATCAGTTAGAGAAGGGAAAAGACACCCAAGGAATAGTTATTTGGATTAGCTTGGTAGGGTGGTATATTAAAGAATAGCAAGCTGCCTGTACTTCTGCCCTTTCAAACTGAAGCTTAGTTCAAAATGTCCCAGACTGTCTTTGGCATGCAATCTTAGGTCCTCCTACACTGCCTGGCAAGGGAGCTAACCTTACAAGGGAATCAAGATAGGCATCGGGTCCTGTTTTACCATTTTTTCCCTCACCATTCCCCACTACCACTTCTAATTTATTCCTAATTTATCCCCATTGGGATTTATGCTGATAAATACAACCATAATTGTTCTTTGTGGGGCTAGAGAGGTAATTTAATTGAGAATGTGCACTTAGCATATCTAAGACCCTTATTGTGGTCCCCAGCACCACACATACAAACTAATAGTGAAAAGTAATCACTCATTGTGATGAACTCAGACTCTGGGAATAGGCACAACAGACTCAGGAGTAGTTCCAAGTCAAAAACAAGTATACTATAGTATGGAACAGTTTCCCAGTCCAGGGAACTGGGTCTTGTCTTACATCTATTAATACAGTCCCCTTTTTGTTAACTTGCATATGACTTATCATTATTTCTTAAAGCCACCTGAATTTCCTGTTCATTTGTCTATGGAATTCACAGGTACCTACATTCTGGTTCCTCCGTAGCCATCCCTAATAATTGTCTAGGAATTCTTAGCTGTCCCTCTGTAACCCTCTTCCAGCCACTTACCTACTACAGCTCTCTTCAGCGCTGTCCTACCCACCCCTCTTCATTATGATTCCCACACCTGCACTTCAACTGCTCATTTCTCTTCCCCTATACTTTAAATGGCAGCCTGTTGTAGTTGCTTGTTTGTCTGTTTGTTTGTTTTGGACTGGTTCTGACCTTGAATTTAAATCTTGCCTCAGCCTCTCAACTGCTAGGATGAGAAGTATGTACCACCACTCTTGGGGTAGGGAGGTTGTTGTATTGCTTGTTTGATGCTTTTGAGAGAATGTCCCATAGAACCTAGGCTAACCATAAATTCCTAATCATCCTGCCTCTATCTCCCAAGTACTATGTGATTATAGGTGTGTGTCACCACATCTGGCTTTGAATTTTTTTTAATATAAAAATATAGAGTCATTTACTTTAAACGACTTTGATTTGGCTTTTACTTGAGACAGATAATATCAGTTATGAAATGAAAACTATCACAATATAGGAATAGTCTTGCAAATATTCAAACTGTATAAAAATTTTGAGATTTTTTTTCCTTCACAGTACACATTTGTTAAATTTACTGAGTTATCCTGCTCTCTCTTAGTTTTTACTGCTCCTGTTTTATTAATGTGAGGCATATGGGTGTTGTTTTTCCTTGGTTTTGTTTGTTTTGCTATTCTGTGTAAGTCTCCACAAATACAGTGTGGAAAGAGCCTGTTTCAGTGGCTCTCAGCATACGTTCTCTTGACATTTGGGGAGGCAGTTTTGACTGTGTAAGACTGTACTGTGCTTTGCAGGATGTTTAGGAGCCCTGACCTTCGTGCCTCAAATGCCATCATATTTTCCCAAATCATCATGAGAACCAGACATACTTCCAAGTGCTTCCACATTCTTTCAGAGCCATAGTACTGCTTTTGTAGGAATCCAGATGACCAGAGAGAACGAGTCTAAGTTGGTGAATAGTGACTGTCGCATCTCCATGAGCATTCGATTGTCCCCATGACTATGCCTACAATAGAACTGATTTTGAGAGTTTGTCTTCTATGGAACGGTTTTATTTCTCAAATTCAGAAAAATGGACCATTTCATCATTAAGATGATGAGTCAATGTTAACAAAAAGATGTTTCCATTCAATATCATCTCTTTTTCCTTTTAGTGGGATCGGTGTGTTGCAGTTACGCAGGTCATCACACGAACTGCCGAGAATTCTGTCAAGCCATTTTTCGAACAGACTCTTCTCCTGGTCCATCTCAGATCAAAGCAGTGGAAAATTATTGTGCCTCCTCACACGAACTGCCGAGAATTCTGTCAAGCCATTTTTCGAACAGACTCTTCTGGTCCATCTCAGATCAAAGCAGTGGAAAATTATTGTGCCTCTATTAGTCCACAGTTAATACACTGTGTGAACAATTACACTCAGTCCTATCCGATGAGAAACCCAACAGATAGTAAGTAAACGGGAGATGTTCTCTCCTCAGATTTTGGTAAGAGTTTATAAAGAGAATGTGATATGTTCTTGTAGATATCTGCAGTCTCATTCACCAAATTCTTTTGGTGTTTAGATTTGACAGATTGGACATAATTTTCACAGCTATAAGATTCCAAGAGAAATAAGAATGTGGAGACCATAAGGAAAAGAGAATTCTCAATTTTGATGGTTGAAGAGGTCTTTGGTATGGATATTTTGTTAGGAAGTTGGATAATCATCGTTAGAAAATCAGATTACACTTTTTACCCTAGCAAGTCCATTTCTTAACATTTCCAACAAGAAAACTTAAACAAATTTGCAAAAAAAATATACTGTATATATGAATAGTAGTGTCAGAGAGAAAAATTAGAAATAACTCAAGCATGTATCAGTAAGATACTGATTAAAATTGATGGTATATCTATATAATACTTTACAACTAACAAAACATTTATAAAGAAAGAACTCCAAGAAATAGTAAGAAAAAAAGTTTCAGAACTAACAGTATAGTAATTCATTTTTAGGTTTATTTAATTGTCTCACATTATATATTTCTATAATGCTTGAACTTTTAGTAATAATCAGTTATTACTCTCATAATTAAGATATCATAAAAAGTAAGGAGAGAGTGATAATTTTGAAAAATCAAGGCCTCCTAATGCACTGCCCTTATGATTTTTTTAAGTTTCTGCCTTGTGTATCCTAGAGTCCATTTACTCATCTAGAGGTAATCAGATTTTGAAGAACTGACTTACTAACAAAACTGAGACAAGACTGCTTTGTAAGCCAGATGCCAGTGTTTTTATTTATGCTGGACTATTGAAAGACTTGTTTTTATAATCTTGAAAGCAGTGTGCTTTGTTTGGCCATAATTGAAATCAGAACTCAAGACTTTTGTCATTCTGTGATGTGGCTGTGTGGTGGAAATCAAAGATGTAACCTTCATTTGTTTTAAAGGCAGATCTGTGTTTTCTGACACCTAGACTACAGAGTGTTGCTAGAGGAAGAGATAGAAGCTTTAAAAGAAACCAAGGCTTTAAGGGCTGACCCACCTCTCTAATGTCTGTCCTAATACAGAGTAATCTAGAAAAGAAGGCTTCACACTGAGTGAGTTTCTTCAAAAGACAGACACCTGAGAAAACTACTTGAGAAAACCCCTTCTGAAGCCTGTAGTCTGGTTGGAAGTATTCTTTCATCTTCTGATTCTTTGTAGAAAATTAAAGACTGGCAGAGTGGGGGCATAGCTCAAAAGCAAAGCATGAGCTTATTAGCATGTTTGAGGTCCTGGGTTCAATCCCCAGCACCAAAAGAAAAGAAAATTACAGGCAGAAGCAAACTAATATATTGTTAGAGTTTGTTATTGTATTATTCAAATTACAGCATACATTAATCAGCTTATACAGACTTATAAAAGTCTGTGATGTCTAGTGGTCAGAGAATTATGGAGGACTTTTAGGGGAGGGAATGGGGGTAGACTTGATCAAAGTGCATTATATGCATGTATGAAATTCTCAGTTAAGAAAAAAATATATAAGAAAAGGGCATCAGGGCATTAGAGAAAACACTAATGAGGAGGGTTTCTTCCCAGCATGCTGTGCTTCCAAATCTAGCACATTTTTCTGGTTACTTCTCTCCTTTTTCAGGAAGAGTGACCTAAAAAATTTGAATAACAACATTGGCTTAACTATAAATCTTACCTAAATTTCAATATTTATATAGTCCATTTAGGATTTTTTCTTACTTTTGAGGATAGTTCTGCATATTTTATAATATGTAGTTTGCAGGGACTTGTGCTAGAAAAAAATGCATAAATCAAGTCATAATATTGTAGTCTTTAATTTATTTTTATTTTATGTGTATGTTTTGCTTGCATGTATGTAACTGCAGTATGTGTGTGCAATAGCCTCAAAGGCCAGTGGAGGGCATTGGATTCCCCTGGAAATGGACTTAAAGACAGGTTTTAACTGCCACGTTGGTGCTGGGAACTGAACCTGGGTCCTCTACAAGAACAGCCCGTGTGATTAATCATTGAGCCAGCTCCCCAGTCCCAAGTAATATTTTGAAATACATTCTTCTAACCTATTAAAAAACCCAGCTTACTTTGCTTATTGGCCTAGCATTCTGCAGTTTATCCAGTATCTCTCACACACAACAGAAAATTCCCCACAGATATTTTTGCTGTCATATGGTCTATGGAAATTAGATTTAAATTACATATAAATTTCTGCTTATAGTAAGCACATCCTTTTAAATATCGTCCTTTGCTTTCATATATTACAAACACAATTCTGTATATGTTACTTGAGATATTTTAATAAAATCAGTTGTATTTATGTTCCCCCAAAAAAGTGTGTGGTGTCTTGGAGTATGATGAAATATAGTGTTTGTTTTTGTTGCTATAAAAATGAGCCATCTGTCTTATGTCAAGAACTTAATCTCTAGACATTCCTTACTAGCAGGAAATAAGTCCACTTTGATTTACAATATCATTTCCAGGAACATAGCATGGTTTACATGAGGATTTCTTAGGTGTAGGATGACTTCATTTTTGTAAAGACAGTGCTAGAAAGCTCCTGATCAGGGACAGTGGTGAAGTCTAGAAATAGAAGCCTTGTCAAGCCTACACTACAGAGTAATGGAGGGAGAATGGGGTAGGTTCTGTGCACTGCAAAGACTCACAGAGAATAGTGTTGTTTCCACCTTGCTGCCGAGTTCTTCTCCTGAGCATATATGTTATAAAACCAGCTAATGCAGGACTTATATCCTGAATATAGGTTTATACTGCTGTGACAGAGCTGAAGACCATGCTTGCCAAAATGCCTGCAAGAGAATTCTGATGTCTAAGAAAACAGAAATGGAAATTGTTGACGGTCTCATCGAGGGTTGTAAGACCCAGCCCTTGCCTCAAGATCCTCTTTGGCAGTGTTTTCTTGAAAGCTCACAATCAGTTCACCCTGGAGTCACTGTACACCCTCCTCCCTCAACTGGCCTTGATGGGGCTAAATTGCATTGTTGCTCTAAAGCAAATACCTCAATATGTAGGTTAGTGTCTTATTTTCTTCTATTAAAATCAGTAGAAAACAGGATTTAAACTGGTGGGTATTAAACCTTGCAGATGTTACATTCTTGTTTTGTCTAGGTTTAGTATTTGGGAGATATAAAATTTGACCTGGGGAATATAGCTCAGTGGTAGAGGCCTTACCTAGCATGTGCAAGGCCCTAGGTTCAAGTCCCAGTACCAAAAGATAAACAGAAGATATGTCTTTTGTTCTTATATTCGTCAAATATTTACTGAAGATTGTATAACTAAAAGGCATTATTTTAGGGCCAGCTAGATGGCTCAGCAGGTAAAGGTGCTTGCCACCAAGCCTGTCAACCTAAGTTCCATTTCTAGGACCCACATGGTAGATGGAGAGAGCAGGCTCTCTTTTTTTTTTTTTTAGCTCTGCTCATACACACAAATAAATATAATTTTAAAATGTTTAAATGAGGCTGGGCGTGGTGTTGCACGCCTTTAATCCCAGCACTTGGGAGGCAGAGGCAGGCAGATCTTTGTGAGTTCAAGGCCAGCCTGGTCTACATAGTGAGTTCCAGGACAGCTAGAGCTACAAGGAGACCCTGTCTCAAAAAGAAAAAAAAAAAAGTTTAAATGAAACAAAGATTATATTATACATTGAGTGCTAGAAGCAGTGTGATCTAATGTCTAAGAGATAGTCTCCTTATTAAATTATGAGACTTTGGGATAGAGATGTGGGTCATTTAATAGAGTGCTTGCCTAGCATGCACAAAGCCCTCCAGCACCACATAAATGAGCTATGGTGGCACATATCTGTAATCCCAGCACTCAGGAGATGGAGACAAGATGATCAGAAGCTCAAGGTCATCCTCAGCTACATACTGAGCTCAGGGCCAGCCCAAGCCACATGAGACCTGTGTTGGAAGGAAGGAACAAATGAATGAAGGAACTTTGCATTTAAGCAATCTTTTGTTAAAGAACAATCTGAGTTGTTTAGGCATTTGTGCCAGTGGGGTGTTTGTTTTGTTGTTGTTATTGTTTATTTTTGCTGTGGCAAAATAGCTGCCATATACAAGTGAGGGATGATTTATTTTGTTCCATAGTTTCAAGGGCTTCAGTCCACATCCCCTGTCTCCATTGACTTGCTCTGAGGAGAACATGGTAGAGGCGTTTGGTAGATCAGAGGGACTCACCTCATAGCAGCCAGGAAGCAGAAAGGGATCAGAAGGGCCCAGAGACAAGACACAGCCTTCAGTAGCACCTCCCAGGGACCTGCTTCCTCCAACTAGACCCTCCAGCTAGACCCAACTTCCTAAAGTTTCCATTGACTCTCAGAATTGTTCTGCCAGCTGGGGCCACGCCTTCAGTATGAGAGCCAGTGGGGCATTATTTCATAGTCAAAACAGAGCAGTTGGTTGGGTGTTACACTTAGAGATAAAAAATTAATAATACAAATATAGACAGAGGAATCAATCTAGAGATAAAAATAAATGGAGATAACTAAAGCCATGATAAAACAGGATATAATAGAAGTTTGCCTTATCAAAGATATTTTGGACAAAAAGGGCCCAAACATTACTAGGAAATTCTGAAACAGAAAGGAGATAAGAATGAAACAACTTTTCCTTTAAATTGGATGAACTTTAAGAAGAAAAAATAGTGTCTAGGATAGTTCATTAAACTTTACCAAACATACCAAAAACATCCAAAGAAAATTAATCGAAAGAAAGGCTTAATGGTAAACTTATCCTTATGATTACGGAAATGGGTTGCTTGTAAAAGTTAATAAATGTCTTAATGAGAAGGATGCTTTGAATGCCCACAAAAAAAGGGGGGGGGAGGTGATGTGTACCTTGAGTTGCTAGACCTTGGAATGTCTGTGTAGTCCCGAAGGAGCTTCAGTAAGGAACAAGCTTTCCTCACCGTTTTTGGAATAGCGTTGGTTTTTGATGTTTGTTTGGTTGTTTACCTGTTTGTTGAAACAGGATCTCATTCTGTATCACTGGCTGGCCAGGAACTCAATATATAGGCTAGACTGGCCTTGAACCCACAGTGATCCACCTGCCTCTGCTTCCTGAGTGCTAGAATCAAAGGCTGCTGGGATTAAAGGCAAGTGCTACCATGTCCAGCCTAAGAGTTTTATTGTTTGTTTTTGTTTGTTTGTTTGAGAGAGGATGTGCTATGGTCCATGTGTTGATAACTTGCAGTCTCTCCTACCATGTGAGCTCAGACTCAGGTCTTCAGGCCTGGCAACAGGCCCCTTTACTCATCTCAACAGCCTGGAATAGAGTTCTATGTGTTGTTGAATGCTTTCTTGTCCATCAGACGCCATCTTTATAAAACTTTATGAGGTAATTGGGAAAATTTGTATAATTTCTATTTTAAATGTTAGAAACTAACTCTGAGATGTTAAATAACCTAGAAAGTTAAGGGCTAGAGAAAGCACTGACTTCCTCCTCCTCAAAGTGTGAAAGCTCCCCTGAGAACCAGGATCTGGTCTGTTTTAATCACTACTGAGTTTCCAGTGCCTTGATCAAGCATGCATGTGAAATAGGCACTCATAAACATTGGGAGAGTGAATGAACAAACTTTAAAGTAAAGATATCTTCTTCATAAGGGTAATTGAGAGCATCAGATAAAATGTGAGGACAGTAGAAAATTTTTACTTGTGACTTTATTTCAATAATATTAAATTTTTTAAAAATAATATTAAATTTTTATAGCGAGTTTTTACAAGTAAAAGTTAAAACTAATTAATTCACCATATGAAAGCATTTGGAAATGGCCTGCCAATATTCTTTGACTACAGACACACTCAAGTTTCTTTGCACTTAGCAGATACTGAAAATAAGAATTCGATGTATCAACAACAATAGTATATAGAAGCTTTGAGCATCTTGAGGAATACAAGGGCTTAAGCAAACCTTAAGTCTATAATCCCCACACACACTTTTTTCCTGGTTCTGAGGATTGAACCCAGGGTCTTGTAATCTTGGGCACATAGTCTTAACCCCTAACCATTCTTAAGAGCATTCTTAAGAGAAGCATTCTGCCTCTTATAATTGAGTATAATTATAGGGGATTATGCATTTGTGGAGGCAAAACCATGTTTCAAGTAAATATTGAAAAAACAGGGAAGATAAGAAAAATATAGGAGAAAATAATCATACCAAGGACCCAGGTTTGATTCCCAGCACCCACATGACGTCTGTAACTCCAATTCTGGGGACCCTATACCCTCTTCTGACTTCTGTGAGCCCTGCATGACATGGGTGCACCTACCTACATGTAGGCAATACACTCATACACATAAAATAATTTTTTTTTAAAGAATTGGGTTTTTTTTTGCCAGGCATGGTGGTGCACGCCTTTAACTTCTGTGAGCCCTGCATGACATGGGTGCACCTACCTACATGTAGGCAATACACTCATACACATAAAATAATTTTTTTTTAAAGAATTGGGTTTTTTTTGCCAGGCATGGTGGTGCACGCCTTTAATCCCAGCACTCGGGAGGCAGGGGCAGGCGGATCTCTGTGAGTTCAAGGCCATCCTGGTCTACATAGTAAGTTCCAGGACAGCTGGGGCTACAGGGAGACCCTATCTCAAAAAGACCAAAAAAATAATAATAAGAAGAAGAATTGGGATTTTTGTGCAGATAAAATATTCATTGGGCTTATCTCTTACATTTCTGCATTTAATGCTTTTGTTTCAGGGAACTGTGCACGAAACTTTATAGCATGAGCTGGGGCAATACACAGAGTTGGCAAGAGTTTGACCGCATCTGTGAATATAATCCAGTGGAGGTGTCTATGTTGACCTGTCTGGCGGATGTCCGAGAGCCTTGTCAGTTGGGCTGTAGAAACCTTACTTACTGTACAAACTTTAACAACAGGTAGGAAAATTATTATACATGAGGTGGAAGTATGCAATTATCAATTCACTTGTTTTAAGTAAGTAAAATACCACTTTCCTCTGATATTGTGCCTTCTGGGTTAAAGGAAAACTGTATTTCTTTATGATTTTGTCTTTAAATGCTCTTTCCCTTCTATGTAGTCTCTGGAAAGGAGGTACCGCTGCAGAGTCCCTTCCAATCTGGAAAGGAGGTTCCTTGACTTCTGATCTGGAAGGGGAAGAACCTTTGCAGAGTCCCTTCCCATCTGGAAAGGAAATCCATTTCAGAGTCCCTTCCAATCTGGAAAGGAAATCCATTGCAGAATCCTTTCCGATCTGGAAAGAAAGAACCGTTGCAGAGTTCCTTCTGATCTAGAGCTGCCTGGAACTCCCAAAACTCAGAGAATCCGGTGCCTTCGGTCCATTCTCCCTTCTACTGCACACTACCAGTGGGAACAGGTCACTACAGAATAAATCCTTGTGAACTATTTAGTCATCCAAAGTTCTATCTATGTACTATTTAATTTTTATAGGACCTCAAGCTGAGAGTGATGGTGCAGGCCTATACCCTAGCACTTGGGAGGTAAAGGCAGGACGATCAGAAATTTAAGGCAAGCCTTAACTACCTAAAGAATTTTAGGCCATTGTGGGCTACATCAAAAAAAAAGGACCTTCATTATTGGTTGTTCCTACACAGTGAGTCACTTGCTTAATTCAAAGACAGTTCTTTACAGAAGCAATTAAATTAAGAGTTTTCCTGAGGCGTCAAGAATAATAAGGGGAAAAAAAATCAGGGCTGGAGAGATGGCTCAGTGGTTAAGAACACTGACTGCTCTTGCAGAGGACCCGAGTTTGATTCCCAGCACCCACAGGGTGGCTACGAACTGTCCTTAACTTCAGTTCTAGGGGAACCTGAAGCTCTATTCTGACCTCCGTGGCATTGCACAACGTGGGTATACTCACATACATGCAGGCAATACACTCATACACATTTACAAAAAAAAAAAAAAGAACCTGAGAGTTCTTACAAAAGACCCTGGTTTGAATCCTACCACCCACACAGCAGCTAACAACTGTCCATAACTCCAGTTCCGGGGGATCCAACAGCCTCTTCTGTTCTCCGTGGGCATTGCACCACACGGGTACACTTAACCTACATGAAGGCATGACACTCATATACATAAAAATTAAAATAATAAAATATTTTCTAAAAAAGAATAATAAGAAAAATAAAAGGCCAAGGTCTGAGTCCAGAGCATGTCCATAGTTAGTAGCTAAAGAAAACAGAAAAGGGGTGTCTAGAAGACAAACAGGACAATTCCACATGAGATAGGCCAGGGAGGGACAGTTTCTAAAGAGGTAGCTGCTTTTGTGAGCTGCAAGCCAGAGATCCAGAGAACACACGAAGGAGTCATTCCACTGACCTAGAGGAAATCCTACACCAGACAGCCATTGTGACAGATGTGCTCTCTTCAAGCGTTTTTTTTTTTTTAAGACAGGATCTGTCCCTATATCTCCACTATGTAGACCAGGCTGACCTTGATCTCACAACAGATACCCACCTGCCTCTGCCTCTCCAGTGTTGGGATTAAAGGCATGTGCCACCACATCTGGCTCCAACCTATCCTTTTATTCACATTGTTACTTTGGGTAAGGAAACTGAGGTCTTTACACATGATAAAGTGTTAGCCAATAAGGACTTGGCTGAGAGACTGAATAACGTTCAAATTCATAAAATGGATGTTATATATTTGAAGTCAAAGTCATACATAATTCTGACTGCTGGTAATAGCAACACAACTTTATATCTAAATACACCCTAGACAATACCAATTATGAGCTCTGCACAAAAAGGACATGGACTGGAAAGATGGCGCAATGGTTAAAGCACTTGCTTTAGGTCCCCATCAGGTGAAGCCTCCAGAGATGGCATTTCCATGGAGGTCATTGGCCAGCCAGCCTAGCCTAAACACATTAAATCCAATGAAAGTAAATCATATAGAAATGCTCCAAAATATTCATAATTAAATGTTTCTAAATAACCTGTGAGTCAAAGAAGAAATCACAAAATAAATTAGAAAAGGCCTCCAGTTCATGGTAACAGTATTATGAGGTACAGGGCTTAGAAGAAAATTGTGTGTTTTTTTATTTCTTTAATTTATTTAATATTAAATATTTAAAAGGAAAGATTTTTTTAAATCATAATCCAAGCTTCTATATTAAGTAATTCAGAGAAGAGAAAACCAAAAGTAAGAATAAAGAATAAAAACCAGGCTGGAGAGAAGGCTCAGTAGGGTAAGGTGCCTGCTGGACAGGCATAAGAACCAACATTAAAAAAGCTGGGTGTGGTAGTACATACCTGTAACCCTAGCCCTGGGGGAAGGGGGCAGAGGTAGATATACCCCTGAATCACATCAGCCAGCCAGCCTAGCCAAATCAATGAGCTTTAGGTTCAGTGAGAGACCTTGCCTCAAAAATAATAACAGCCAGGCCTTTAATTCCAGCACTTGGGAGGCAGAGGTGGGCGGATCTCTGTGAGATCAAGTCCAGCCTAGTCTCAATAGCTATTTCCAGGCCAGCTGTGCCTACAGGGAGACCTGTCTCAAAAAAAGGACTAAAATGAGGAGGAGGGGGAGGGGGAAGGGGAGGGGGGCACTTGTACTCACTGTACATACACTCATATTAACAAGTACATAATGTATACACAGTCATGAGAAAAGAATAAAAATCAATTAAATATGAAGTTTACATTAGAGAAAATTCACAAGGGCAAATGTTAGTTATTGAAAAGATGTTTAAAATCATAAATTTTCATCAAGACTGTTAAAAGACATAAGTAAATATAAATTTACAAATTGTTAATATCAGGAATAAGTGTATCCTTGTATGTTTAAGGACATTTAAAAAAATGAGGCTGGAGAAATAGCTTAGTGGTTAAGAGCACTTGCTGCTCTTGCAGAGGACCAGGTTTGGTTCCCAACACCCAAATGGTGGCTAAGGACTGACTGTAACTCCAGTTCCAGGGAATCCAGTGCCATCTTCTGACTTTCACAGGTGTTACACACATATGGTACACATAAAAATACAGGCAAGCTGGGCGTGGTGGCACATGCCTTTAATCCTAGCACTTGGGAGGCAGAGGCAGGCAGATCTTTGTGAGTTTGAGGCCAGCCTGGTCTACATAGTGAGTTCCAGGACAGCTGGGGCTACAAGGAGACCCTGTCTCAAAAAAAAAAAAAAAATACAGGCAAAACATTCACTCATACACATAAAATAAGGAAAAAAAATGTTTAAAGAATAAAGTATACTATGATCAGTTTTATGCCACAAATCCCACAACTTATATAATGTACCTTTAAAAAAAAAACCTAAGCTAGGTGTGGTGGTGCATGTCTATAATCCAGCATTTGGGAGTTAGAGACAGGAGAATCAGAAGTTTGTCATTCTAGTTACATAGCAAGTTCAAGACCAACCTGGGCTATATGACACCCTGTCTTAAAACAAAAACCCTAACAACAAGAAGAAATAGTAAATGGGATTAGTCTACTAGAAAATACGAATTTATTTATAATTATAAATCTTCACACAAAGAAAATTAGGATTTAGATGGTTTTCCTGGTAAAGCATACTAAGCATATAAGGGAAAAACTATACAAGTATTACACAGACTCTTTTAGAAAACAGAAAGAATATATCCCAGCTCCAGCTTCGCTAAGGAGCTTATTTTGCCTTGATGTTTTGTGTCAAAATCAGTTTACTGTGTGTGGGATGTCTGTGCTTGCCTTTTTATTCTATCCATTTTTTTTAGACTAGGTTTTGCTGTGTAGGCTAGGCTGGCTTTGAACTTGCTATATAGCCCTCAGACTGGCCTCATACACAAGATCTCCTGCCCTAACCTCCAGAGTCCTGGGATTTCAGCCATCTCTGCCATACCCAGTGTCCAAAAACTATACACTTGGTTTAATTTCTGTTGCTTTAAATGTCTGAATGCCAGCACTTGGGAGTGGAGTCAGGAGACCAGACAGCTTCAGTTTCATTGTGAGTTTTAGACCAGCCTAAACCACATGAGATGCTGTCTGAAAACCAAAAAGAGGAGAAAAATTACTTCAACATAGATCATAGAACTAAACATCGAAGCTAGCAGCTATGGAGCTGGTGAGATGGCTCAGAAAAGTACTTGCTGTGCAAGAAAGACAACATTTATTATTTTTATTTTATGTGTATGGTAGCCAGCATGTATGTAAGTGCACCCATGTCATGCAGTGCCTGTGGAAGACAGAAGAGGGTGTTGGATCCTCCTGGAACTGGAGTTACTGACAATTGTTAGCTGCCATGTGGGTGTTGGAATTGAACCCAGGTCCTCTGCAAGAACAGTGTTTGACTGCTAAGCTATCTCTTCAGCCTGATAACCCAAATTCTATCCCCAGAACCAACTGTGAAAGGAGAAAACTGACTCCCAAAAGTGGTCCTCTGACCTCCACACACTCACCAAGGCATGAGCGCACACACACACACACACACACACACACACACACACACACACACAGATAATAAATGAAACAAAAAAAAAATTTAAGGAGTCAGTGGGTGAAGGCACTTGCTGCACAAGCCTGACAACCTGAGTTCAATCCCCAGCTCTCATGGTGAAAGGAAAGAACCAACTCCCCAAGATTAAATTACCCTATGACCTCCACACACATGCTGTGGCATGTGCACACCCTCACACACCACACACACATCGCAAATAACACACACACATGAATAATAATAGATAGCTGATTTTATTTTTTCAGTTTTTTAAAGCTAGCAGGTATAAATTTGATCCTACCTACCTGATAAGCTGAAAAGGGGTTTCATAAGCCAAGGAGTTTGAGGCCAGCTAGGGGCAATATAATGAAGCCTTTTTTTTTTATGTGTATGAGTGTATTGCCTGCATGTGTGTAAGTGCACCCATGTCATGCAATGCCCGTGGAGGTCAGAAGAAGGCATCGATTCTCCTGGAACTGGAGTTATGGATGGTTTGTAGCCACCATGTGGGTGCTGGGAATCAAACCCAGGTCCTCTGCAAGAGCAGTCAGTGTTCTTAACCCCTGAGCCATCTCTCCAGCCCCAGGGCCTTTATTTTTTATTATTTGTTTTGCTTTGTTGGGACAGGGTCTCCCTGTAGGCTTACCTGGCCTGGAACTCTCTGGGCCTCAGTCTCACAGAGATCTGCCTGCCTCTGCCTCCTGACTGCTGGAATTAAAGGCATGTGCCACCACACCAGCAACTGAGGCCTTTATACTATTGATGGAAACATTAATTATTGTATCCATTATGGAATCAGTATGAATGTTCTTCAGAACTAAAAATAGAAGGCCTGGGGAGATGACTCAGTGGGTAAAAGTGCTTGCCACCAAGGCTGATAACCTGAGTTGGATCCCCAGGACCCACAGGGTAAAAGGAGAGAACCAATTCCTGCAAGATGTTTTCTGACCTCCACACAGGAGCTGTGGCATGTGCATGCCCCCCCCACACACACATGCATGCATGCACATAAATAAATGAATACATAAATAAAATAATTTAAATCTTTTTAAGTTCAAGATAGAACTACCATATGGCCCAGCAATCCCACTACTAGATTTGTGTCAAAGGGTGTGAAATGTGCCCAAAAGATTTTTTTTTTTTTTTGTCTTTTTGAGATGGATTCTCCCTGAAGCCCTAGCTGGCCTGGAACTCACTATGTAGACCAGGCTGGCCTTGAGCTCACAGAGATCCTCCTGCCTCTCCCTCCCAAGTGCTGGGATTAAAGGTGTGTACCACCATGCCTGGCAAGATACTTTATTCATATGTTGCAGCATTGTTAATAGCCAGTGTATAAAATCATCCAAGTGTCATCAACAGAAGAATGGATAATGAAAATATGATATATATATGAACGCTATTCAGCCTTCAAAAAGAAGGAAGTCTGTCATTTGCCACACATGGATAAACCTGGAATACATTATGTTAAAGTGAAATAATAGAAAAATACATGTTACTTGATCTCATTTGTCTAGAATCTAAAAGCAGAGACTAGGGCAAACAAGATAGCTCAGTGGGTTAAGGCACAGCCACCAAGCCTGATGACCTAAGTTTGACGTCTGGAATCCGTATGGTGGAAAGGAGAGAACTGACTCTTGCAAGTTGTCCTCTAACCTTTATATGCACATTATGGCACACATGCTCCCCGACTCTACCCCACTCACAGAGTAAATAAATATAATAAAAGCAAAGAGTAAAATAATGGTTATAAGAGCTGGGAAGATGATTCAGTTGGTTAAGTACTTGACAAAGCATATAAGGACCTGAGTTTGGTCCCCAGAACCCATGTAAAAAATATTTTTTAAAAGGTGTGGTGGCACAGTCTTGCAATCCAAGTGCTGAGTGGGTAGAAACAAGTGGATCCCGGGGCTTACTGGGGAGCTCTACGCCAATGAGACATTCTTGTCTCACAAAAAGCTGGATGGCATCTATGACACACCTGAGGTTGTCATCTGGTATCCACATATTCAGGCACACACACGTACACACACACACATATTAATGGTTATAAAATGCTGAGGTGGGATGGGGAGGAAATGGAGGGATGGTGGTCAAAGGATACAAAGTTTCAGTTAGGACAAATAAATTTAAGGTGTTTTATACAAGGCGAAACTAGTAAGTGTATTATATATTTGAAAATTGCTAAGAGAAGTATTTACCACAAAAAGGATAAGGATGTAAGGTATACATGTTAGTTAGCTTAATTAGCCATTTTACAGTTTGTATGCATATTTCAGTACAGCAGGTTGCATGCCATAGTTTTACATTTAAAGTCCTTTTTTTTTTAAAGAAAGAAATGACCATTTAAGAGCATGAGACAGTACAGCAGGTTGCATGCCATAGTTTTACATTTAAAGTCCTTTTTTTTTTTTAAGAAAGAATTGACCATTTAAGAGCATGAGAGGCTGGAGAGATGGCTCAATGGTTAAAAGCACTGGCTGCTCTTGCAGAGGACCCAGTTTTGGTTCCCAGCACCCACATGGCAGCTAACAACCATCTGTATGAGGGCATCAGGTGCCCTCTTCTGTCCTCCATAGGCATTTTATGCACCTGTGTACTTACAAACATACAGGCAAAACACTCATACACATAAAATAAAAATACATAATTTTTAAAGCACATGTCACAAAAAGTATTTTCTACTAGTGTTATTCATAGTAGCCTGGTATTGGGAGAGGACCCGAAAACATTCATCAGGCGCACAAAAGAATATAACACACTGTGGTGTCCAAGCGATGGCATAGTACACAGAGGGGAAAAAGCCAAGCTACTGAGACTCCCAAAAACATGAATGGTCTAAATGGGACTAAAGGCGAGTGCCATCATGCCCAGCTAGAAGCCCAACATTCTTGATGATTCATAAGAATATTCTAAGAATAAGTACAAGTAATTTGTGGGGATATGGACCAGAAAATCAAGGACGTGAGGGAACTTTAGGGTATGTTCTGTGTCTTGCTTGGGGTTTTTAAGTACATAGCTAGATATAGTCTTCAAACATTATTAAACTAAATTTTCAGTTTGCACATTATATTGTACCTAAATTAAACTCCAGTAAGTTGTGTTTTTTTTTTGTTGTTTTTTTATTTGTTTGAGGCAGGGTCTCATATAACTTAGACTGGCCTCAAATTAGCTATGTAGCTCAATCTGGCCTTGAACACCTGATCCTCTTGCCTCTGCCTCCCAAGTATTGGGATTACAGGTATGTGCTATCATGCCTAGCTTTTTTTAAAAAAATATTTTTATTTATTATTTTTATTTTGTGTGTATCCGTGTATTGCCTGCATGTAGGTAAGTGCACCTGTGTTGTACAACGCCCAAGGAGGACAGAAGAGCTGTCGGATCCCCTGGGACTCTGCCATGTGGATGCTTGGATTCGAACCCAGGTCTTCTGCAAGAACAGTCAGCGTTTTTAACTGCTGAGCCATCTCTCCAGCCCCACATTATTTTTTTTAATTACATGTGAAAATGGGTGCTGGGAATCAAACCCGGGTCCTCTGCAAGAGCAGTCAGTGCTCTTAACCGCTGAGCCATCTCTCCAGCCCCCCAGAATCTTTTTTTTTTAATTTTATTATTTGTATTTTATGTATATGAGCGTATTGCCTGCTGTGTTTTAGCACACCCATGTCACGCGATACCCTCAGAGTATGTCCAGGCTGTCTCCCTTTATTTTGTTTCAAAAGCCTTCTCTGTGGCTTTTACATGTATCAGCGTGTAGTACTCAGCTGTCTCACTTGTGCCATTAATGTCATGGGAAAATTAAAAGCCAAAGGAAACTACTACCTTTGTAATCCCGGTCTCCAGGAAGCCGGCCTTTAAGCAGGCGCCTTCAGAAAGACTGTAGCTGAGATCTGGTGCTTATGAGGTGCCAGCTGTCTTTATTTCCCCAGTGCAAAGCTGTCTTTTAAAAAAAAATTTTATAAAAAAAAAAAAAAAAAAAAAAAAAATACAACATTTTTAAGAAGGGCAAAGAGCAAGAAAGTTGTTTCACAAAAGATATGCTAAATTAATAGGTATTATTCTGCAATAAAAAGGAATAAAATATTTGCATATACAACAACAAAAAGATTATGTTTTGCTTCTTGGTATGGTGGTGCACACCTTGATGCCAACTCTGTGAGTTCAAGGCCAGTCTGATATACATAGCTCCAAACCAGCTAGGGATGCATAGTGAGATCTTACCTCAAAACAAATAAAACCAAAACGATTATGTTTTACTGAAAATTCCAGGCCCAAAAGAATAAATGCACTGAGATTCCATCTTTAGGAAATTCTAAAACAGCTTGCGTTAATTCATAATGACGTTAAGTATAAAGAGTAATGGTCATTGGGCTGACTTGACAGGGCACATGGGAACTGTTTGATATGATGGAAATGTTTACTGACTTAGATGTGTTTCTGTGAGCAATACACTTGTCAAGTCACATCAAACTCATATAATCTGTACATTTTGTTTAATAAATTATATCTCAGTTTTAAAGATTCAGACTCATTTCTGAAATAAAATGGGATGGCCTGGGGATGTCAGTGCTGTTTCAAGCATCTTGGATGTTTAGACACAAGAATCTGTTAAATTAAAACATGCAGTCAGTGTCTTAATGCTACAATCCACCATGTCTTCAAACGCTTGAACTGATAGCCTATGATGGATTTTATGCAGGTTCTTGAAGAAAGCCAGATTTTCTACATCTGTAAATGTATCAGGATTTTGCTCATTGTTTCTCTTCAGAAAATAATCATCTGATTCCTTCTGGCTTTTTTTTTAAGGCCGACAGAACTTTTCAGGAGTTGTAATGCTCAGTCAGATCAAGGAGCCATGAATGACATGAAGCTGTGGGAGAAAGGAAGTATAAAGATGCCATTCATCAGCATTCCTGTTCTTGATATTAAGAAGTGCCAGCCGGAAATGTGGAAAGCAATCGCTTGCTCACTGCAGATTAAACCTTGCCATAGTAAATCTCGGGGAAGTATTATTTGCAAGTAAGTCTTTTTCATCATAGTCAGTCTCCAGTTTGAGCTCAGAACCTCCAGAGCCTCACTTTAGAACTTTCTCCTCCCACTTGCTCCCTTTGTCTGTGACCCTCCTCATAGCAAATGCTTTCAGACTTTTTTCTGCCCTGCTTAGAGCTGTTCCTCCCATCTTCACTTGCCCAGGGCCTGACCTTCTTGGCTCTTTCCAAATTCCAGACATTCCTATGGAGTCTTCCCACATTTCTTCAGTTGATACTAGTTTATCCTTATTCAAATAGAACTTTATGGTATTTTATTATGGAAATTAGCTCAACAAGAAGTTCCTTAAATAACTTCAACACACAATTCCATTTTTATACTTTAAATTTTTATTACATTTATTTATTTATTTAATTTGTGTGTGTGTGTGCATGTGTGTGTATGTGCATGTGCATACCATAGTGTGTGTGTGATGAGTTCCAGGAACCAAACTTTAGGCATTTTTCAGGCTTGCTGGCCAGCACTTCTACATGCTAAGTGATGTCTCCAGACCTTTAATATTTTCATTGTATTCTTGTTTTAGGAATAATCCTGTTCAATTTAGAACCTTTTTTGTGCCATTTGTCTTTTTTCCTCTTTCCTCTTTTTCTCTTGCACACACAATAGATATCCCATAAATGTCTGACGATTGACAGAGTTGGTGAATATAGTCATTAGGGCCTATTCATAGTAAACAGCGGTTTACTTAGGAAATCTAGGACAAAGCAAAGAGGGAAACCGCAGTGGTGGGTGAAACTAAAAGTAACTATGGAGTAATCTCTGTCAGCTGTTCTTCTAGCACCTGTGTTTCCTAAAGCTTTTCCAAAACCAAGTTAATATTCAGTCCCTAAACTCAGTGTGTGGCTCAGTACTGCTCAGATTATTTCAACCCTCACAGGGTCCAGGTGTCGGGTTTGGTTTGGTTTTGATGCGGGGGGGGGGGTTCTATTTAGTTTAGTTGACTTGAATTTAGTTTTGAAGGAGGGTTCTTACCCTATCACTCTCTAGTTCAGGCTGGCCTTGAATTCAGGGCAAGCCTCCTGCCTCAGCTTCCTGAGCTCTGGGATTACAGGCATGAACCACCACACCTGGCTTTAAATCTGTTTTCTGACATGACTCAAGAATGCCCTGATTAAGGAAGTTACCAAAGTATTGTTGAATGATAAACAGAAGGCAGCAAGTGGGAAGTGTGTAGACTCAGCACAGAACACTCACAGAAGAGATCCTTATTCAAGACTAAGAAGACTAAGAAAAATTCTAAAGTAGTATACTTTCTGGTTGTTCTAAGGCAAGACACCTTAATGATGATAACTAAAAAGGTATTATAATGAGAAATAGAGGAAACGAAGAGCAGAAGCAGACAGGATAAGGTCCTGAACATAGGATCATGATTTTGCAAATCAGCCTAGCCTGACCTCTTAAAGATGGTAGAAAGTCACACTGATGGCTGAGCAAGGCCTTAGCTCTCCAATTAGAGGAAGTTAGGGAGACTTTGAATTTACTGGCAGCTGGAAATTTTACCATTCTTACTCTTAACCAACTGTGAAAAATTGTTAAGTAATGAAAACTCACTTTGTCAAAAACTTCACAAATAAGTAATTTTGACCAGACAACATGAGGAGATTCCTTGAATCCAAAAATCTAGGTACATTTTTCTTTTTAAGATCAGATTGTGTAGAGATTCTCAAAAAATGTGGAGACCAGAACAAATTCCCTGAGGACCACACAGCTGAAAGTGTTTGTGAGTTCCTGTCTCCTGCAGACGACCTGGAGAACTGTATTCCTTTGGACACATACCTCAGTAAGTACTGTGTGCAGTTTAGATCTGGGTCTCTGCCCTGGCTCTTTGTCATCCATGAGTGCTGTCTGGTGAGAACTGTTGTCTGATGACGCCATCTGCATTACTTACTTTTCTCATTGCTATGACAAAAATGATTTAAGGAAGGAAGGGTTTGTTTTGGCTCATAATTCAAGGTTTTATTGTGGCTCACAAGTCTGTCATGATAGCAGAAGCATGAGGCCCTTCCTTGGTCATTATTGTATCCGCAGGCAGAGAGTGAAGTGGTGCTCAGCTTACTTTCTCCTTTTCCTTCAGTCCAGGCCCTCAGTTTGTGGAATGGTGCTGCCCACATTTAGAGTAGGTCTTCCCACCTCAACTAACCTAATCTAGAAGCCCTCTCACACTCCCTAGGAGACAAACCCCTGGACACATCAGGTTGGCAGTCAGTATTAACTATCCCAATCTCAATCACTCACACTGTCTCAGTCATACTGTCTCAGTCACAGACTCATATTGGCTTGGCCTTTTTGGCCCAACAAAGGATTGTCATCTTAAGATTTGTAAGCAGAAGTGGTCTTTACCATTTGGAGGAAGTATGAACTGTTAGCCATCAGGATTTCAAGGAAGGGGCTGCAGCATTCTCAGAAATCATCATTGTCCCTTTCTTGATGTGACCAGAAAAAGTGGGATTTCCCCCAGGAAACAATTAGCTTTTTGTCATCAGAATATCAGGACACCTGAGCCAGGCCTGGCTTGAACTTATCCACCCAATAGAAAAGAAAGAGCTGGACCTTGGGTTAGTAAAAGAAAAGGGAGCTTAGCTCACTGCATTAGCTTCTCTCCACCAAATACTCCTCTCAACAGCGACAAGTGTGGGTTGGTTTCTCATTGAGGGATTCCTGAGCGAGCTTCTTGACGGCAATGTGACAGATGTGGAGCAGGCCATGCATTTAGTAATTGAGGGAAGGAAAATGTTTAGGCTGCCACCAGGGGGCATTAGTACCATAAACTGGCTGGAAAGGGGAATAGAAGCCTTCAGATAAAAGTACAGGAAAACCCAGAAACGAGATGATAGGGATGTCCGTGGTGGTGCCAACACCAGGAACCTGGTGTCTTCTCTGCTTCTCCACTGTCCTAGGTAACTTCCTGTGCTTTATGATCACGTCATGACTGTTGGATCTAGCCACATTGTTCTAGTTCCAGATGGTAAAAGGGAGAAGAACAACTTCTCTTTAATATCACTGGACATTCGTAATTGTTCAGAAAACTTGGATAGATTATCTTTTTAGCTATGGACCCAGGCCACTATGAGTAAAATTAGAGATCTGTTAGTAAAGAGAGAAGAGTGGATGATGAATTTATAGCTGGTTGTCTCTATCACATTCTCTCAGAATAAACCACTGTGACCTGTATAGCAAAACTGAATGTGTTAGGTTAGAATTTGACCTCTATGACCTTGAGAAGATCGCATCTTTCCAGTTTCAGATTCCCCATGTTCAGAATGGCTGGGCTGGATGAAGTGAGCCCTGAGAACCCTTCTTTCTCCGCAGAGTCTTAGAGTCTGAGTCAGGCCTAAAATCAAGGAAGCAAGACTAATGTATTCATAAGCCTAGACTCTTACAGCAGTCAAATATTTGTATAGAAGGAAACTATTTCAGTAGGAGGAAAATTAAATAAGTTCTTTTGTTTGAATATCAATACTCTCTTTAAATACATGTTCTAAATGTTACTCTTTCTTGGTTATGATTTTAAAAGTTAAATATAATCATTATATGGGGTTCATACTGCCATAATAGATTACCATTTGCGATTTTTTTTTTTTTTTTGAGACAGGGTCTCCCTGTAGCCGCAGCTGGCCTGGAACTCCCTATGTAGACCACGCTGGCCTTGATCTCACAGATATCCTCCTGCCTCTGCCTCTGAGTACTGGGATTAAAGGCATGCACCACCATACCCAGTCCATTATGATTTTTTAAGTGCCAGATTATCCCTCTTTCATAAAAGCATCTATTTGCTCCCCTACCCAAAATGCCTATCACTGTCTGTCTGCTGAACTGCATACCATTTACAGTTATCTGGTTTGTCTCTCTTCTAGATAGAAGCTCCATGTTAAAGACTTGTCTGCTTTGCTCATTACTGTAGCTAATACCTAGGATCTTGCCCAGCATATTGTGGGTATCTAGTTAATAAGTGGATGATTGGCTAAGTTATGCTAAAATGACAAATGATCTAAGTGCTTAGATTCGTTAGTGCTCGTTAGAATCAGGCCTTGCTTTATGCCCATGAGCTCTCCATTTATTCCAGCCATAATTAAGTCAGGTGGTTTATAGACTTCTTTTGTTCTTTTAGGTTGGTTACACTGACCTGTTTTGGATTTTTCAGGGCCAAGTACTTTAGATAACATTGTAGAAGAAGTGACTCATCCCTGTAACCCAAATCCTTGCCCAGCCCATGAGCTCTGTGAGGTGAACCGAAAAGGGTGTCCATCTGGAGAGCCCTGTCTTCCGTATTCTTGTGTCCAAGGTAAGAGGAGGATGGGCATGTGTGCCATGAGCAGGGACACACCTACTGACATTCCTTTCAATGGTTGTCACTAGATGGGGTCAGGAGACTTTGGCTCCTATATTCTGTTCTCATTTCTCTAGATGGTTGTTATTAGATGAGATCACAGGGACTTTGGTTTCTATATTCTGTTCTGTAACATTTAAGGGTCTCCCAGAAAACATTCATTTATACAGAGAAAGACAAGGACACATAATTTTCAATTGTCATTTTAGCCATAAACTAATGATATCAATGCAAAACTTAACTGTCATAATGAGTTATGGAATTCTTGACTATAAAAGAAAAGAGAAGCTTAGGCTAACTTTTTGTATTTTCATGTTGTAATATTTGGAAAATAAACTACACGTTCATGTTTTTCTTTTATTTCTTGTAGTATGTGGAGAAATGTCATAGTCAAGAGGAGCCATAGTTAATGGGCTGGAGGTATAGCTCAATATTTGAGTGTTAGACTAATGTGTATAAGGCGTAGATGCAATCCCCAGCACCACAAAAATAAACAAAGGCTAGGCAGGGAGGTGCACTCCTGTAACCTCAGTGCTTGGGAAGTAGATGCTGGAGTATCCAAGTTCAAGGTCATTCTCAGCTATAGAGTGAATTTGAGGCCAGTCTAAACTACATTGGACCCTACCCCAAAAAATATATATTAATGTTGTATTGAAATGCATACAAGGAACCATTTAGTTTTGTTTTGTTTTGCATTACTGTGCCACTTCAGTCTTGTACACTCTAGGGAAGTGTTCTACCACTGCGGCACCTACCTAGCCCCTGAAAAAAAATGTGTATTTATAGAATTTTTATAGTCTATATCTATCTCTCTAGCTGTCTATCAGTAATTTAAAATTAGTTATGGCAACATTTTGTTTCTTTTTAATCTCTTTCTCAGTTGAAAGTATTTGTCTTGTTAGAATCAACATTTTAAAATATCTCTAAAATAAAAAGGAGCAAAGGTTAAATAAAGGCCGTGACTTGCATGGTGCCATGTCAGTTAGAGAGTCTTATCGGGACTAGCTGAAAGGAAACGTTGGCTTGTTTGAAACTTCAAAGTGGTACTTTGTGCCCTTTTGTCATTGTATTATAGCTTGGCCAATATTTTACTTGGCAAGAAAATGGAATACAGTGAAAATGGTACCGTCTGTACACGGTATGCTAATGTGCACTTCAGCTCAGAGTCCTCTTGTTTTGTTAAACTCAGAAAACTCATTTTATGATAAAGTAGAAATATATTCCATAGGAAATAAGTTTTCATTAAGCCCATCCAAATACTCAGTTTTTCTTTGAATTTATAGTATACTTATCGCTAAAAATTGTCATGGCCAAAATTATTCTAAAAACATTATGAATTTCTGTACTCCATTTAAAAAATATTTGTTATTTTTCAAATATATTTGATTATCTCAAAGAAATTTTAAAAACTACATTTTTGTTGTATGTTTTGAGATAAGGCCTCACTGTGTAGAGCAAGCTAGCCCAGGACTTGGCCATCCTCCTAACTGTTTCCCAAGTGCTAGGATTGCAAGTGTGTATTACTATGCTTGGCCAAAGCTATATATCTTCATAGTATTTTTTTGTACTGAATTATAGCTAACTTTGAGGTATAAGTCCTTAATCACCCCTAAAACATGGAATTTTCATTTGAGAGAATGAACTTTGGGGCAGTGAGCAAAACAAATTCGTTAATTTGGTGAAAGTTTTATAGAATAATTTTAATAGCTACATAGACCCTAAGAGACTTCAGTAAAGTTATCTCATGTTGTGAAACAGTGACGCTGAGCAGTGCTAGCCGCTAATCCTTGTATTCTGTTTTCAATTTTATATTGTCCAGGCTGCAAATTGGGAGAAGCTTCTGACTTCATTGTCCGTCAGGGGACACTAATCCAGGTGCCATCATCTGCAGGGGAAGTTGGTTGTTACAAAATCTGTTCATGTGGACAGAGTGGACTCTTGGAAAACTGCATGGAAATGCACTGCATAGACCTCCAGAAATCCTGTATTGTTGGAGGAAAGAGGAAAAGTGAGACTTAAACCATACTTATGTTTGTTTTTATTATCATGTGAGATTGGTTGTCTTTACTTTTATACTAAGAATATTTGAGCTCTCACTGAAAAGTCAGATCTACGAGTCATACAACCCAGGACAGCACTTTTCAAACTATACAGAGCACTAAGACTTTGTGTGTGTGTGTGTGTGTGTGTGTGTGTGTGTGGTGTCTGTGTCTGTGTCTGTGTGTCTGTGTATCTGTGTGTGTGTCTGTATGTTGGGGGGAGTCATATATTATTTGAAACAAGGTCTCAGTATGTAGCCCAGGCTAGGCTAGAACTCATTACATAGGCCAGGTTAACCTTGAACTTGCATATTATTTGAAACAAGGTCTCAGTATGTAGCCCAGGCTAGGCTAGAACTCACTAGGCCAGGTTAACCTTGAACTTGGAACAATCCTGTCTCTATCTCCTGAGTGATGGGATTACAGGGAAGTACCACCACAGCCAGGGAGTACTAAGACTTCTAAATAACCCTCTTAGATGTGTCTCAAGGGGGCCTACTTGTTAATAGTAATCTCCATGAATTTTGACTGTGTACCAAGCATAATACCAAGTACTAACTCTTACCCTACATTCTTTCTTTTTTTTTTTTTTTTTGGTCTTTTTGAGACAGGGTCTCCCTGTAGCCCCAGCTGGCCTGGAACTCACTCTGTAGACCAGGCTTGCCTTCCACTCACAGAGATCCGCCTGCATCTGCCTCCCGAGTGCTGGGATTAAAGGCGTACGCCACCATGCCCTGTGCCCTACATTATTTCTCTTAATCACCCAAATTCTTCTTTAATATCAATATTGTTTTTACTATATTCCTACTCAAAGCTGATAACAGCTGATGGTTAGTCTCTTTACCAGGCATGGTGGCTCATGCCTGTAATCTCAGCACTTGGGAGGCTGAGACAGGAGGATTGCTCTGAGTTTCAGGTCACCTTGGACAGCATAGTGAGCCAACCTGAACTATTTAGGGACAGTGAGGAGAGAGAAAGATATGAGGACAAAAAAGTTCATTCCTTCTATAAATGTTCATTGGCTAAATGCCTGTTTTGTAAAAAAAGAATATACTACTGCCTTCTAGACATGGGGTGGAGGTGAGCCCATGCTTTATTTACATGGTAAGGTGGTAAGATGGGAGAGGATTCCAACCATAGAACGTTGCAGTGCTCTTCCAGGAGCCAGTCATTCCTGCCAGGGCGTCAAAAGAGCCTCCAGTCTGATGACCACATCAGGCCTGACCCTGGAGAGATATGCAGGATTCCAGAGGAAGAAAAGAGCAGTTGAGGCAGAGGGGCACTCAGATACATTCTCAGAGAACAGGTCTGGTGAGACTGGCACATCAGTACTTAGAGGAATATGGTGAATGGTAAACAGAAATAGAAATAGCTTAGACTTAAGCACCTACTTTATGTCTTTCAAGAATTTACATTGTAAAACTTTTTGAGGGGCTGGGGAGATGCTTCATTTGGCAAAGCACTTCAAGACAACCTGTTTGATCCCCAGAACACATATGAAAAGCTGGGCATGGCAGAATGTGCTTGTAATCTCAGTGCTGGGGAGGCAGACAGGAGGATCCCTGGGCTTGCTGGCAGCCAACCTAGCCTAATGGTGAGCCTCAGGACAATGGGAGGCCCTGTCTCGAGGGAGATGGACAGCATTTCTGAGGATGACACCTGAGGTTGTCCTCTGGCTTTTTGTGTATCTACACACATGTGTACCTGTACACATGCATAAAAAATAATTTTTGCAGGCCAGCAAGATGGCTGAGTGAATAAAAGTGCTTACTGAGCAAGCCTGACAACCAGTTTGAGCCCAAACACACTGGAAGACAAGAACCAATTCCCCAAAGTGTCTTCTGACCTCCACATCATATACAAATTTGCGTTTT